ATTTTCTATGATCCTAAAAATTACGATCAACAACTTATAAGAGAAGTGATTGCGAAAATGATTATTGTACATGAGTACCCATTCATGATGGTTGAACATACTTGGTTCAATATATTATTAAAAATGTTGAATCCTAACTTTCAAAGTGTTTCAAGAAACACAATAAAAAATGATTGCATGAAAGTTTACGAGTGCGAGAAAGATAAGCTTAAATTTCGCCTTAAAGATGTTCGCAGGGTTTCATTAACTGCTGATTGTTGGACTTCAAATCAGACTATCGGATATATGTGCTTGACTGCCCATTACATTGATGAATCATGGAAGATAAGGAAGGTTATTATCAACTTTATTGAATTAGAGCCTCTACATACCGGCACTTACATTTGTGATGCAATTTGTGAATGCTTGTTGGAGTGGAATCTTCAGGATAAAATATCTACAATTACTCTAGACAATGCGAGTAATAATGATGTGGCTGCTAGTTCTTTAAAGGCAAATTTTCAATCACGTGGAAAACTAAACTTTCGTGGATATTTTTTTCATGTTAGATGTTGCGCACATATCATCAACATAATGGTCCAAGATGGGCTAAAAGAGATTCAAGAAATTATCCACAATATCAGAGAATCTGTTAAGTATTTGAAAAAATCCCCGACAAGATTGCATAAATTTGTGGAAGTGGCAAAGCAACTAGGAGTTCCAACTACAAGGTCACTGTCCATTGATGTTTCCACTAGATGGAACTCAACTTTCAATATGTTGGAGTCCGCATTTATTTATCGCAATGTTTTTAATCACTACGCAATTCGAGATGGTAACTACAAATGGTTGCCTGATGATTCAGAATGGGTTAAATATGAGAAAATAAGAAAATTTCTTTCAGTTTTCAATAATGTTACGAAGATGCTCTCTGGCACTTTATATCCTACTTCAAATATATTTTTACCTGCAGTTCTGCATGTTAAGAAAATTTTGATGGAGGAGTCATTCTCAGAAGATGAATACATGAAGAATATGGCTACAAGCATGCAAATCAAATTCAATAAATATTGGGGGGAATGTAATCTTCTTATGTCTATTGCAGCAATTTTGGATCCTAGACTAAAACTAAAATTTATTAGTTACACATTCCCGAAGATATACGCACATGACGAGGTTGAGCAAAATCTAAAAACAGCTCAAGATGCCTTGTGGGAAATATATGCAGATTATGTTGTTGAGTGCAATGTTTCTAATGAGGGATTTTCATCTACAATTGATCATGCCAGTTCCTCAAGTCATTTTGACGCAATGTTTGGGTTTCAAGATTTTGTTGTAGCTT